GAGTACCAATGCTATCGACGCCAGGGAGGTAGCTGCCACACCTGGACCCTACCTATCGACCCATCAGCTCATGGACCAACGGTTTTACTTCCCAGGCCCTTTGGGTGAGAGGTAGCTTACCACTACACCACCGGCGCCGCCGCTCTCGGTCCGCTAGTGTTTGTGAGTTATTTGCCGTTAATGTTTATGAAATGTTCACCATTTTGTCATTAACGGTGCCAAAACAAAAAAGTTTACTTGTTGATTTGGACAGATTTGGAACTATTTCATGCGACCAGATGGTGTATGATGATCACAAATGCATTGTCAAATTGATTTCCTACGCAAGTGATGTGAATTTCACGAATAAACACGAGGAGGATTGATTATACAAAACTTGCCAAATACAACCGTTTACTAAAATGAACTATTACGATTGTATACAGCAAGTTTTGTTATAATCAACTCTCATGTTTATTTGCGAAATTGACATCAAAGATTGATCACTTGCGTAGGAAATCAATTTGACAAGGCATTTGTGTCTAGCATACACCTTTCGGTTGTATGAAACAGGTCCAAATCCAATCGGAACTTTTTTGGTACTGTTTATGTTATGTTAAAATAGTGAACTTTTCATGAGCATTAACGGAAAATAACGCACCAACACTAGTGGACCGTGAGTACTTGACCACCCATACATCTATCCACTTTGGATAGAAGCCTTAGAGATTTTCACGTGCGGTTGGATTGGTGCGATATGTGAGAGAGTGTTAGTGAAAATCCGAGGAAAATACATAACAAATCGCTGTGAAACTTATTTTGACAGATATACTTTCAAACGTTTTTAGGTTAGCCAGAGGAAAATAATACATAACTTTACACGGCGTTGCACCCACTTGTGTCTGTGCGTTAAACGTCACTAATCTCTTTCATTAATGGATGGAGTCAGCTCTCTTTTGAAGACTTGGTGGCAGTGCTGAGATTTGTCATTGTCATTGACAGACTTTCGCACAATATTGACAAAATTGTTTATCACTGATTTTTTTTATTCTATAAAATTCCATCTTTGAAGTCAGATGCGCGAAGTCTAAATGAAATATGGGATGGGGAAAAGCCTTTTTGAGATAGCACATTTGACTCAAAAAGGCGTAAAAACCCCATATCTTTTCACAAAACAGTACACATTAGACTTAATCCTCACTGCACAGCACTGTCACTGACAATTGACATGGATTGCCTTGACGATGATTGTTAGCTCAAATGAGTGACCAAAGCAGAATTTTGATTATCGCCTTGTATAGTAGAGATTTCGCAGCACTTGCTTGGTGAACCTGCAGGAGTAGATAGAAGAAGGCGCGTGGAAGTGCTTAGTGTTGTTATTAAATACATCTGCTTTGTTTGTGAATGTAACGATAGAATTTATACAGACGCACTGAAATTTCACCTCTCTTTGGAATAGAAAATTACAATTACTGCTATCAAACGAAGCGACAAATAACATCAACAGGTTTAAAAAAAATGCTATTGCTTTGACCTGCCTCTATTTAGGCGGTACAATGCTATTTTCTAGTAAGGCATTGAATTTGTCTAGCAAGTGTCTTTTAGTGATATCTGGGAGATTTTTCTGAAGATTGAATTTAATCATATCGCTTCCCGGTGAGGAGTTCTTCATTTAAAGAGCCAAAGAAAATTCCAGCATTGTGAATGGTCTATCCAGAGAACCGCCGCTTGGAGACGTTTCTCGAATAATATGTTGTGCAGGAACTGATAGCGAATTCGTTTATTATTCAGTTCCTACCTGGATCGGATATCAATATTGGGTCTGTTTGTTTTCTGACAAACGTCATTTTGATCGTTTGTTTTTAAAACTTACCTCATGTTGATGTTCGCATTGACAAAAAGTTTGGTTTCGCACTGCGAGCATGTAGCGAGTCCAGTGCTGCACAATTTCGACAATACACGGTGATACTCAAAATTCTGCTTTAGTCACTCGTTTGAGCTAACAGTCATCGTCAATGCAAACCACGTCAATTGTCAGTGGCATTTTTGTCAGTGACGAACATGTGCTGATTTGTTTATTAGCTAAATTTAAAATAAAGTTAAATGGCTTGAGGAAAACAATTACATGGAGCCATTAAAGTGAACAAGCATCTACGGCTTAACAGCTTGGATAACAAGAATGCACGAAATTACCCTTTCTGTTACCAGGTGAATCTTTGTCATTGACGAAAAAATGAATGAGATTTTGACAAAGATTTTTTTGAGGATCAAGTCTATCATTGACTATGTGAAAAACAATTTTGTCAATATCGCGCAAAAGTCTGTCAATGACAATGACAAATCTCAGCACTGAGCGAGTCACCCTCCACGGTACAATGAGCCATGGTGTTCTTTGAGGTTTTGAGGTTTCTTGTGAGAGTCCCTCGACGAAATTGAGTCATTAACCGCGTTTTTTACAACGACTAATTGTTTCGGCTTTGTCTCAAGCTTTGAATATTCCTTGAAGCTTGTGGAGGTTTTGTATCTACAAAAAACTTTGAAAGCATAAGATTTGTATACATAAAATTTTGCGTGTGGCTGGTCTCCTTTTGAAGGGTGCACTTGGAATTTTTCTTTTTTGTGCTTTCAGTGAGCATTTGTAAATCAAATCGGTGAGGAACCGATGTACATCCAACGGTGGAGGTGTATCAATCGAATCGACACCGATAGTTCACCGCCGTTGCATATTATTGTCAATCTATGTTCCTTGTGAGGGCAAATGGAACTCGAGATGTTGAAATCATTCCAAATATAGCGATCCTAAACACAAAGGTAGGTCGAGTCGGCTTTCTTGAGCGGAAGGTTTTGCTATACGTGTCGCTTCCATGAAAAAAGCAAGAGGATATTGTCATTATTGTTACTATTTACAATAGATCAAATACTGGTCGCAGTGGATTTATGTCCCGAAGAGATAAAAAAGAAGTCGCATAAAAACACAGTGGAATTAGTCTCTATCAGGAAAGAAAAAAAAAAGGAGCTGGATAAATCAAAGAAATCCACAGCTGAAGTAAACATCCCTATGTCATGGAAACACAAATTGTGGGTGTATCGATGATCCGAAGAGTTTTGTCTTCCTTAGTTTTGTCATCGTACAGTACAGACTATGAGTGGCATCAGGCAAACATGTCCATTCATCCACTTGCTGTCGTAGCAAACCAGTTGGGACACACCTCGATGTATGTAAAAGATCAATTTTATCGAAAATAAGAATCGGAAAGCTCGTATCGCAGATTAAACAAAAAACAATGCTGACGTAATCAACAGAACGGGAATAAACATCGGATAAAGCGTTTGTACCTTCATAAACCCAAATGATGTTCTAAAACTTTAAGGGGCTGTCCATATGCTACGTAGATAGTTTTTGACCCCCTCCCATTCATCCTGCGTTTGCATTCATTCAAACTTTTTGTAAACCGTGGAACCCCGTTAGTTTGAATAGCAAAAATGGAAATTACACGGCGCTCATGAATGGGAGGGGGGTCAAAAACTATCTACATACACACTCAGCGACGTTTTCCTTGTTCGGTAATTTTTTACCGAAAATAATCGGTAAATGAATAAAATTACAGATTTTTCGGTAAGAAAAATATTTTACCAACATTCGGTAATTTTTTACCGAGTATGATGGCAAATACAGGTGCATGAATAATGCACCTCTTAAATATTCCGTCTGATATACCCATTTCATTTATTTTTATGATCGTTTTTCAGACACAACAACCAGATACTCTGTGCTTTTCTGTCGGTATCAGATTGCGGCATGTTCCTGGACTGGCATCGGCATGAAAGCAGCCACCAGCAATAGCTTTAAATTTTAATTTACCAAAATAAAACAAAAATACAAAAGATCGACTAATTTCCTTTTACGGAACAGTTCTTTTAAAATATACTGAATAGTTCGGTAAAAAGTTACCAAATTGTTCGGTAATTTTGACAGGAAATCAAAAATCTGTTTACCGATTGTTCGGTAGTCATTTCCTTTACCGAACTGATAACCGAACGTTCAGCTGTTGAATGTTGTGTAGCATATAGTTTTGTTACTGTAAAAAATACTAAAACAGTTACTTCCAAACTAACTGTCATTCAATACCTTTCAAATGACCTATAAAATTGCAGAGATGTGAGCAAAAAACATGATTCCAAACTTATGATATGGGTGTATCTAGAAAGTGATCATTTATGATCAATCAATGGTTTGCGTGTACTTTGAGAACTTCTACCGATGTGAATATTTGAATTGAATAGTTTACTAATGACATGACATGACAATAAGTTTTGACATGCTAAATCTTGTTTCTAAAATGACCTATTTCCCATACATCGTTATTTCCGAAGGAGAAAATCGTTTAAATTTCTATTCTTCTATTTTTCAGTGTGCCTTTCCTCCCTGGGATAGATTGTTCTAGTGAAAAATGTAATCGAGCGCAACCAGACCAGTGTCATTGTCGTTGAGTTTGGTGTCATGCTATACAATGTAACGCCGATATCACGAGATCGCAGCATATTTCCATCTTTGATATTGATTTTCAATTTCATTTATTTGTTTGGGTATCGTGTGTTAATACGCTTCCGGTAGGGCTTATGAGAATAGAAGAGTGATAGAGCAAATAAATACGTTATCGTTGTCCGTGTCATGAAAAGAGCTCCGGAGTGAGCATCGGCATCTGCAATATTCTCACCATTGGCATGAAGGAAATGTTATTTTAGTCATCAATTTTCTTCGGTGGGCACTCTATAGAAGCTTGCAGCAATATAGCCCATGGAAACAAATGTACATTATTTTTCTAGAAGCATATCCTTTAATCATGATACAGCAACATAATAAATGTACGAACATTGATGGAATTTTTCCTTGTCGCATGCTTACCTGTAAACCTACATGATAAAATGTATAGATCATTGAGAAGTTGATACTAAAGCTACAGTAGAAATTGTATCAGTCTTGTACGTGATTCACTTGTGAATGACAATTTATAGCTCACCTTGTGTGGAAATCGTCTAGCCCTTGGCCACAGTAAAGAAGTTCACGAACTGACGAGTTATCGGCCGTACCGCCAGTGGATGCCTCGGAATCGTTGGCTAGTTGACCTATTTCTGTCACGTTCATTTTTCCCTCCAACATAATGTCGTTGTGGTACCAAGAGCGCTAGTAGAGTTTCCTCGTTGAATTCAATTACATTATTGTCTTTTTTTTGCCACCAGCACTACCACTTTCTCTTGCATTTGTTCCTCGAACCTACCCTGTTCCGTTTCACGGTATTCGCAGCACTGCATTGGTTTAGATTGCATTTGTCAACAAGCGTCATGTGTGTTGATCCATTCTGTAAGGAAGATTGTAACAGACATAAAAGCAACTCGTTAGGGAAACGCACAAACTACTTAATGAACATAAAGGAACTGATCTGCAACTGTGGCAGTGAAACAACTTATTCTATGTCTGCACCGCTTTCTTCTTGAGGTGGAATTTGTACTCAATTTGTATATGTGTCAACATAATAATGAAAAAGCACATTTCACAGTCAAAGTGACTATTAGATATCGCATAACTGTTGGTATGCAGTACAGAAATAACAATGGTGGTACGTTTTAACCATCCAAAACAGTGGGTATGTTTTGCTTTTGATATGAGAAAATTATGAACTCTATTAGTTTTAACTGCCAAGCAAACTTGTACTTTCTGGTTTAACCTGGAGTCGTTTTGGATTCAACGTTGCATCTCAGGACAAGTTTCGTGACGTGAAACTATAGAGCAACATCGTATGTGTGCATGACTGGAGACGATGGAATTGCCAACTGCATAATGATAAATATTTCGGGAAATACGTTACATGCTGCTTTATGAAGTATTTGAAATATTGATATAAATACTTATGAGTGACATTTCAAAATTACTTGTTGAATATTAATCTTACTTTTCAAAGTCAAAATCAAGTGTCCCATTCAGGACTGGAACTGGAAATGCATCGCACAACATTTGACAAAGAAAGTGTGGTTCCCCCATTTGCTTCATACACTCTTTTCCATCTTATCTGTGGGAATGTAATCCACACAACGAGCGGTGGTAAAATTCACACTCAGTGCGGTGCAGGGAACGTATAAAATACAAAAATCAGCTAAATTTCTTCTATGTCTTCTTTGCCGTCTTTGCATACCACAATAGCAATAGATGAAGAAGCGCACAACGAAGAAGAATATTGTCTTTCTGTTGGGTTTCCCATTTGCAGACCTACACTTAGTGTGCTCTTTGTGTCGGTGGCTACACTATGCGTTTTCGTTATTTTTGAGTGTCTTTCATCCTTTTCCGCTGATTTACACTTACGCGGTGTGAAAGGCTAGCACACTTTATGTTAGTCTGTTTCTAACTTTGTTGACTACAGAAAATCAGCATTGCAGGCATTGATTGATCAAATGACAGCCCTGGTCTCAGTGCATAAAATGTGGATATGACTGATCAATTTCTGAGCTTCTATCAAAATTTCAGCACATTTGAGCTTTATATGCTAGCCATCAGCCTAATTAATGTACATATCCATAATTTAGGCCAAATAAACTATTGACCTGCTGATGAAATTCCAGTTCCAACAAACGTGGTTATCATTTATTTAACAACACAGCATAAAAATAATTTTGATGTCACATCAAGGTGGATGCAATTCGATCGTGTCGAAAATATGGTTATATTACACCAAAAAGGAAAAAAAAAACATCATAAATACAGTGCATGAGCTGACATTACGCTGCTCTTACTGCATTTTATTTTTGTGGCCATAAAAATTACATGAGATTTTTAACATGATTGATTTCAATTTAAATTTAATTTTTTGCTGTTGATTGTAGTAATTATGGTCCCTATTATGTAGGTCGAGTCGAGCGTCACTTCTGATTACTGATCTAATGTGGTATGACTCTATAAAATTTACTATTATCACATGAATTGTTTTCAGTAAAAGTGATGTAGTTTTGGCCCACAGTCAATAAATGGATTTAAATTAGTCATATGATTCGATATGAGATACAGTAATGACCCGATTTTGTCAGCCCTTCTGTGTATCGGGCTTTGATATTTCTCGCGTCACTTTTCAAATAGACCAATGTAACATATCCACCATTTTGAGAAAACCGAAGTTGAAGTTCGACAGATTATTATTTTAACTGTTTAAAAACAATACATTTTGCAATACTATTTTTGATGTAGCCAGTGTATAATAACGTTGAAAATTCAGAAGAAACGGTAAAATCACAATTTTACTTTGAATTTCATGCTACAACATAGAAAAAAACCACATAGGACGTTTTGACAACTCGAGTTGTACAACGGACATGTTACATTGGACGATTTTTCTCAATGACATAATCAATGAGTGTTACATTTCACGTTTTGTCTACATGATACTAGATTCCCTTTCACAGATTTCAGAGTATAGTACCTAACTTTAGATTGGCCCCGCCTTTGAAAAATGAGCACCAATCATGTTAGGCAGTCCGAATGACCGAAGTAACAATCATGTACCCATCATTTCAAACTGTACATTGGACAATTTTTGATTAATGATTATCTGATATAAATTAAAGTAAATTTGTATGGATATTTTTGTATCACATACAATGATAGAAGAGCAATAGTTTGTATCGCTTAACTCGATTTGTTTACATTTGTTACATTGGTCTATTTGAAAAATGACGTGAGATTTCAATGATTTCACATAACCATAATTCCAAATCTTTATCATTCATCTTCAAGATGAATGTTTTAGGTAAACTTTGGAGAAATGAGACCACTGATAAAACGCATGGTTTTCGTAGAAAATAAGAAAAAAAATTCAAAAGGGGGCTAACAAGATCTGGTCATTACTTGTAGCCAGTGCTGAGATTTGTCATTGTCATTGATAGACTTTCGCGCGATATTGACAAAATTGTTCGTCACATAGTCACTGACAGACTTGATCCTCAAAAAAACCTCCGTCAAAATCTCATTCATTTTTTCGTCAATGACAAAGATTCACCTGGTAACAAATCGTGTAATGTAGTACATTATGTGTCACATTATTGTTATCCCAGTAGTTCAGGACGTAGATGCTTGTTTACTAAAATGGTTCCATGTAATTGTTTTGCTCAAGTCATTTAGTTTCGTTACAAATTTAGTTAATATAAAAATCTACACATGTTCGTCACTGACAGCATTGTCATTGACAATTGACATGGTTTGCCTTGACTATGACTGTTAGCTCAAATGAGTGACCAAAACAGAATTGTCAATATCACCGTGTCCTGTCGAAATTTTGCAGCACTGCTTGTAGCTGTTATTTTTTTAATCGCAAAGTAAACAAAACACAATGCAGAATAGTTACAGCACATTACAAGTAACAATTCTAGTTTTTTGGGTTCTGTAGACCATGATTTAGACTTGTAGAATGCTATAAAACCATGATAAAGCATGCGATATTACTTGGGATGGCTCCTAAGAAATAGATCGGAATAAAAACCATGGATTAAAAGATAAAAAAAAGGCAGGAAAAGCACTAAGTACCGTAAACTGGGAGCAAATTGATTACGATTTTCAGTAATATATGCGAATATTATCTTTGCTTGCAGTTTATTTTCAATTAATTTATTTTTAAAGCGGTACTACGGCACAGGTAGCAAAACCTAGTAGAATAATTTGTTTTATTATACACGTATGTTTTAGTTTGAATAATCATTGTTCGAAAATTTTAAAATGTTGATTTGAGGTTTTTTTATGGATTTGTATGACTTGTTCCAATAGTTGTTGCAGTAAGTTTACTATCACTTTGACTTACAGTACGTCTGCAGAATGTTGTAAGGATGTAATTACAGCTCATAAAGATCATTCACATGTTTCAAAAATATGTTTATTTATAACAAATAAGCTCTGATGAGTGTAGAATTATCAATGATTTTAAAACAAACTTAATGGGAAATGTTGGTAAACTTGCCCAGTGGCCCACTGTTTACGGTACTAGTTTTATGTACCTATGAGTGATTCGTTTGAGAAACATAATTTACTACTGAACATTTATTACGCCTCCGCGTATCACTTCTCGTGTATAAATCGCGTCTAGAGAAATTTAAGTAAGGTTTCGACTGATTGGGACGAGAGGAACGTTCTGCAGTTTTGGAGTACTCAGAAAGAGTCACTTTTACTCAGTGGTGTGATAAATTTCTAAAAATGCAGGTTACTAAGCGCAGGTTAATCATTGGTTTTCTGATCTCTAAACTGAAAAAATGACAATGGCTGGAAAATTACCGAGGATACGTTTACGTGCGGGGGAATAAGCCAACTTCAGATCACGAGTACTTGTAATTGCGGAATCGGTCCAAAATCAAGCCGAGTTGGCTCACGCGAGTTCCGTCAAAAGATCCTTTTGTGGCAGCTCGACCAGACACAATGTGCCGTCCGAAGGATCTACGTAGTAGTCTGAAATTGCAGCAGCGTTGTCACGGAGTGATTTGGTTGAACGTTCCTAGGGCCCTAAACCACCATACGATGCAAATGAAGGAGAATCCACCCAAGTAACCAATAATAGTCTGTTTGGCAGTTTAAGGTTAATATGGGGCTTCCAAACTTAATATCAGCTGTATGAATAATTTTTTTTTTAATCTGTTTTGTGGTCTCACGGGGAGCGTCCAGGAAACAGAAAGTAGCAGAGTAGTACCATAGAGGTAGCTCTAATACCAGAAGGTCCTGAAGAAACGTGCTCAACTTTTTGGCTCAGCTCTGGTACTCTCTCCGGTCCCAAGGTAATCGATGCACCCCTGAAAATCCACGAGCCCCTCATTTTATCTGTAAAACTTTCATAGCGAATCAAAACAAACATAGTGTACACACTTAGTTTTTTCGGCAATAGAAGTTTGACTGAGATCTCATCATTTGTTTGCTGAGATTCAGTTTAACATTATCAGCAATCAAATGTCACTTTTTCTGAGATCTCAGTGAAACTTTTTGTGTCGAGATTTGCACAGCCGAGCTTGGTAGGAAAAACTAAGTGTGTATTTCTAGAATTTCGACTATAACGGAGTTCATTGATCGATGTACTGGACCGATAGGCTAGTCCAGTGTGAGCCAATTTAAAATCGTTAGTTTCCACCGGTAGGGGAAACAGCCCTATTGTTGCGGTACGTTAGCAGCGTTAGAAGCAGAGGAGTGAGTAGAGGATGCTGGAACATTGTGAACAAGGATATAAAAACGAAGATGGAAAAAAGTATGGATCAGAAGCTTTTTCACATTTATATCGCTGTGGAGCAATTGAAACTGTAGAGGGAACTATTGTTTGTAAATGTAACCAGTTCGATTTTGATTGAT